TAGGGAGGAGAGGAAGGGGATGGTTGTTCGGGTTTCAGAGAGGAAGTAGGTGAGTGAGATTCGTCTGTGTGGGGAATAGTGTTGTGGAGAGGTGAGTCAAAAGCTGGGTCAACGGTAGGAAATGTAGGAATTTGGCTATAATGATGGGTTGAAGAAGGTGTATTAAGGGTGGCCTGACTATAGGGAAAAATATTTTCATGGAATTTTACATCTCGGCTAGTGAATACCTTCTTGGTTGATAAATCGAATAATTTGTATGCCTTTTGACCAATAGGATATCCAATGAAAAATGAGGGCATAGCGCGGTGATCAAATTTATGTGAAGTATTCACATTAGTAGCATAGGCTAAACAGCCAAAAAGACAGAGATGGGAAAATGAAGGTGCTTTTGAGTAGAGCAACTCAAAAGGGGTTTTGAAAGAAAGAACTGGTGTAGGTAATCGATTAATTATGTGGACAGCAGTTAGAGCACATTCACCCCAGAATTGGGTAGGGAGTTGAGCTTGAAATCGTAAAGCTCGAGCGACTTGTAAGATGTGACGATGTTTGCGTTCCACAACACCGTTTTGTTGAGGTGTGTAAACACAAGAATGTTGAAAAATGACACCATTATCTTGAAAAAAAGAACAAAGTGAGAGAAATTCTCCACCATTATCACTTCGAAATATTTTAATGCGGGTTTCGAATTGAGTGAGAACGTGGTTAAAGAAGCGTTTTAAAAGGGATTGTGTTTCATTTTTGTGTCACATCAAGAAAATCCAAGTGAAACGTGTATAATCATCAACAATTGTAAGAAAAAAATGAGCACCTAAAAGAGAGGAGTGTCGATATCGACCCCAAATGTCACAATGAATAATGTCAAAAGGTTTGGAAGAAGAAATCACACTAATACTGAAAGGTAAACGACTTTGCTTTGCCAAAGGACATATAGGGCAAGCATTATTTAACTGAATGGAAAAATCCAGAAAATTCTTAGCAATGAAAGCCAAGCGAGAGGATGATATGTGGCCTAAGCGTCGATGCCAGAGGTTAGTGGAAGAAATGGTGAGATTGCAGGTTGGTTGGAAGTTGGTGGATGATGAAGGGTTGGTAGATTTCTTCGTCGCTAGTGCCACTAAATAATATAGCCCGTCATGCTGTTTACCCAAACCAACCATCCTCTTCGTATCCAGATCTTGGAAAATACACCAATAAGAGAAAAATGTCACTGAACAATTCAAACCTCTTGTAAGACGACTGACTGACATCAAATAAACTTGGAAAGTAGGCACACATAATACATCATGTAGAGAATAAACAGAATTCAGAGGCAATGATCCTTTGGCAACAATATTAGCCTTTTGTCTGCTAGGCAGTAATACAAGAGGCAACGAGCAAGCTTTATTTTTGTGTGAAAACAATTTAGATGATGAAGATCTGTGGTCCGTCGCACCGGTATCAATTATCCAATTACGGGAAGTGATCTTAGACAAACCTGGTTTGGTTACAACATTAGCTTGAGGACTAGACCCCTCATTTTTGATGCTAAGAAGCGATAAGAGCTGCTGCAATTGAGCCTCTGATATCCCAACAATTGGTTTTCCTTCCTCTTTAGAATAGCCTTCTGAAACATGATTAGCCGCTGGTTTGTCAAACTGATTTGAGCCTGAAGTATTCTTTGCCTTTGGATGGCCTGGTGGATACCCATGTAACTGATAACACTTCTGGACCCAATGGCCCTTATCACCACAATATGTGCATTGAGGCCTGCCTCTACCAGAACTTGAGCGAGAAGGGTCGACAGAACAGAGAGCAGAACAAACTTACTTACTTGTATTGATATTATACAATTATATATACACAGTTATACAAGAATCAAGGGATATGACTAGCTACAATTCTGGAATATAAAAGGAAGATATATATACAAGATATTGACCAGGCTTAATATAGAAGATATGCAGAATCTTCCCTTTTAACATCATCACTATTTTGCTGTTTTCAAGCATTTCACTAATCAACTTTTGTTCCTTTGGCTCACAGTTCTCAAATAGCTCAAAAAACAGGTATTGGCGAGATTCAAAGATGTCCCCATAAAGAAACTGGAGACACTAAGGGCAGCAACAACACTATACTCAAGGCTGAATGCATTTGTTGCTAATCTTGAAGGCTGGAAGGTAGTGACTCCTTTGAGTCAGCATCTTGGCAGGGTTGAAAGCTACTTCAACAAGGTAAATTCTCATCAGTGTTGAGTGAAAAACACTCGTATGTGTGATTATCCTCACCATTACAGAATTTCCATCAGTACAGATTAAGGGAGAAGTGGATGCATTGGAAAGAAAAAAAGATGAAGAATCTAAGCGATTTCAGGATTACGGTATCCACTTTGACTTTCATATTCTGGTGCGAATCAAGGAACTGATGGTGGATGTTTCTTCTAGCTGCATGGAATAGGCACTTGAGGTAGTTCACTTGAACATATATTGCATGATCGGTTGATTTTGTTACGAAAAATTCTTTAATCCATTTAGAGCATCTGTTTATTGTTTATTGGAGAGAAGAAAAGCAAAGGCAACAGCCAACAGAGACACCATATCAAAGAATGACAACCAATCTAAAGCATCTACTAATATTCTTTGGAGAGTTTTTCAACTGGCTTTCCGGTCTATACCTTCGTAGGTGGACAAGACGATTGGGCCGACAAGTTGAGCAAAGAGCTGGTTCATGAAATAGAGACTATTCCTCAACACAAGTAATATAAACCCTTCAAGCACTTCATTAATGGATGAGCGCATATCTCATACTTAAGCAATATAGATCCGTTAGATTAGAACGGCTTCGTCACACCAATGCATGTATTGTCATGCAGATTGTTTGTTTGGAATTAGATTTTGTAAACATTGTTGTTCCATGTAAGGATATTTAGAGAAACTTAAATGTCAACAAAGGACGGGCATACAGCTACAAATACGAGTGTATGATCTTATTAAACCAAAGGATCATGGTTTCGATGATAATAATCCCCGAGAGTGGTTCACTGAAGGGCACAAAGCTAATCTCAAGCCCATGTTCTCCATATTTGGTGTTGCTCGCATCTTGTTAGCAAATCTCACTTTCGATAACTTTAATCCAGATCCATCTCACTTAATAATTTGTCATCCTTGGATCCTTATTGCTCCTATTGTTTATTACTCAAATTAGATCTACATTATGGAAAACACCATCGTGTATTTTATGATATAGGCAAAATCTACGATGTAGAAAATGCACTACAAAGCAAAAATGTGAACCAGAGATGTCATAGTTGACAGCTTTAATGTTGTTAGAATCTTTAATGTGATTCGTATGTACACCTTATAATATGTGAACAAATGAAAAGATTTAGGATGCATTTGGCATTGCCTACTTTAAGGATTTATCTCCTTTTTGTAGTTAAAAACGTTGTGTTCATATGCAAATTTTAAATGTAAAAAGGAGATAAGTCCTTAATACAAGGAATGCCAAATGCATCCTTAACGTGATTGGTTAATATTGAGATTTAAAGGCTTGCAAATTATCTTTTTTGCACCATAGTAGGTCTCGTATATGATGTGTATAGCGAATCGATTTCCTAATTTCATTATGGAAAGTAGAAGTAAGATACCTGCCAATTTCTTCTTGTTCTTCAAGGAAAGGATAGGGAATTTTCTTATCTCCTAAGAAAAAAGTGATGCATAAAGCCCTTATCTTTGTTTCAAGAACTTTAATGTTCTAAAATGTTGCTTTCAGTTTTCAAATCAATAATGGGAACTGCATACAAACTGCTTTAGTGCTTCTCAAGACACGATTGAAAGATAATCTTGAATCTTTTAGCCATACAATACAAACATTGACAATTCTGGTTTAGGAGCAAAATTTTAAGTTGTTACAAAATTTTGAAATTCGAAGTTAGCAATAATAAGTAGAACAGATTGACTCAATTTTGGTTATATATATTTGTTCATTATAGAGTTGACAAAAAGGAAGCACAATTCCTCCGTGGCAAAATTTTTGTTCAAGGTAGGTGACCCATGGAGGGGGTGAATTGGATAGTTTAAAAACATTCCCCCTTTCTTGAGTAATTGACTAATGTGTCCACAAAATACATGCCTCAACAGTCAAAGGTGGTCGACTCACAATTTTGGACGATCAACTCCTCAGTGTTCCAAACATTAAAACTCTACATAGATTGATTCCACTGATCCAAAAAACAATCAGTCGCTAAGATTCATCAATATTGTAAGCATTCCAAGCTTATTGTTTACAATAAGCCCTAGATAAAAAATAACAAAATGAAAACTTCTTAGACTTGATTCATCATCTTCTTCTTCTTTCAGTTCAAGGTAGTTAAGACTTGACTCAATGCATTAATTCAAATCATCAAACCAAATGGCTGAAGTCCTAACTAATGTATTACAACCTACCCAACACCTTTATGTAGGAGATGGATGGATAAGAAAACTAAACACTGACCCATATCTCATCAAACAAACCCATACAAGAAATTTATGTAACCGAATCCATAAACAGAGTTAATCTTGATCAATATTCACCAATTAAAGGCAGAAGGGTTTCAACCAATTTTTTTAAGCCTTTGACCTCGATATATTCTACCAATGCGGTTATTCTTAGTAGGAGGTCAGTCAGGACTATAGATGTTGGGATGCACGATTTACAACAAAAAAGTTGAGCAATCTTGGGATTGATATAACATTTACAACTCGATTGTGCAAGTTTTACAACACTATATGCTTTTGCTCACTATAAAATATGTTTCCTGAACATAGAATAGTTACATGTTATTATCATGTAAAAATCTATACGAGACACATGATTGGTCCTAGGATGGACCTACATAACCCAAAGAGAAGACGAGCAAAAAGTCTGAAGAATCAAAGTTGAAGGCCCATGAATCAAATACAAACTCCAATGCACTACCAATACTAGGAGCCAAGGAAGAACATGGACATGATAAAGGAAAAAACAAAATACTCAATGTCCAAATGCTTGGTTCAATTTCAAGTGACACAACAAGCAATAGGGCAGGAAGTAACAAGAGTGATGAACTTCAAAGAATGAGCACCCCTCCTATTTCTGTGATTCAAATAAGCGAGAAATCTGATAAGCTTGAGTTGAAGAGCCAGGAATCAAAGGCAAGTTCCAAACAACTATCAATACCAAGAGTTGAGAAGGAAAATGGAGATAGGAGATGCACAAATGAAATGTCAAAGGTCCTAATGCCCTGTTCAAGTGAAAGAACAAGCAACAATAAGTTTGGAAGTAACAAAAGTGATGCGCCTCATGAGATGACTGCTACTCTTATGCATGTATCACCACTCCAGCCTACTTTGCGACCAAATTTATTAGCACAACCATCCGCATCGCCCACACCTCTTCCAAATGTATTGTCACCACCATCACCACCACTGGCATTAAATTTAGCAGATCCATCCCTATCCCGATCACCACCACCCACAACTCCCTCATATATAAAAGTAACTCCACCACAACCACCAATCCCTCAATCAAAAGAATCAATTTCATTACCGCAACCATCACCCATACCTCTAATAAAGGGAGCAGCTCCCCCACCACCTCCTCCACAGAGTGTAACAAAAGTTCTGCATCTCAAGAAAGAAAATACCAAGTTAAAGAGGTCAGCTCACATGGGGAACTTGTATCGATTACTCAAAGGAAAGGTGGAAGGATCTAGTTTGGACGGTAAGTCATCTCAAGGGAGAAGGAATCAACTCGAGGGTTCTACAGGTGGTAAACAGGGAATGGCTGATGCACTAGAAGAGATCACAAGGAGGTATGAAATCAAAAGCAACTTATTATTATAAATGGCAATGAATGAATAGAGATATCAACGACTTGATCGGTTAAATATCTAATCTATTTTTCTATTTTCATTCCCTTTTGTCATTTAAATTCCTTATTACTATCTCAGATCAGCCTACTTCCAACAAATTGAAGAAGATGCACAGAAGTATGCAACATCAATCATTGAAATGAAAGTTGCCATCAATTCGTTCCAGACAAAGGATATGGCTGAGCTACTCAAATTCCACCAATATGTGGAACTTCATATGGAAGACCTAACCGATGAAACTCAGGTTGTTTCATCACTACTTTGTTGCTTTCATGCATTTCACCAATCAACTTTTGTTCTTTTGACTCACAGTTGTCAATTGCTCAAAATGCAGGTATTGGCAAGATTCAAAGATTTCCCCATAAAGAAACTGGAGACACTAAGGGCAGCAGCAACACTATACTCAAGGCTGAATGCAATTGTTGCTAATCTTGAAGGCTGGAAGGTAGTAACTCCTTTGAGTCAGCATCTTGGCAGGGTTGAATGCTACTTCAACAAGGTAAATTCTCATCAGTGTTGAGTGAAAAACACTCGTATGTATGATTATCCTCACCATTGCAGAATTTCCATCAATACAGATTAAGGGAGAAGTGGATGCATTGGAAAGAAAGAAAGATGAAGAATCTAAGCGATTTCAGGATTACGGTATCCACTTTGACTTCCATATTCTGGTGCGAATCAAGGAACTGATGGTGGATGTTTCTTCTAGCTGCATAGAGTTGGCACTTGAGGTAGTTCACTTGAACACATATTGCATGATCGGTTGATTTTGTTACGAACAATTCTTTAATCCTTTTTGAGCACCAATCTATTGTTTATAGGAGAGAAGAGAAGCAAAGGCAACAACCAGCAGAGACACCATATCAAAAAATGACAACCAATCTAAAGCATCCACTAATGTTCTTTGGAGAGTTTTTCAACTGGATTCCGGGTCTATACCTTCACTTAATAATTTGTCATCCTTGGTTCCTTATTGCTCCTCTTGTTTTTCACTCAAATTAGATCTACATTATGGAAAACACCATCATGTATCTTATGGTATAGGCAAAATCTACGATGTAGAAAATGCACTACAAAGCAAAAATGTGAACCAATTATAAAGCGAGATGTCATAGTTGACATCTTTAATTTTGTTAGAATCTTTAATGTGATTCATATGTACACCATATAATACGTGAACAAATGAAAAGATTTAGGATGCATTTGGCAATGCCTACTTTAAGGACTTATCTCCTTTTTGTAATTAAAAACGTTGTGCTCATATGCACATTTTAAATGTAAAAAGGAGATGAGTCCTTAATATAAGGAATGCCAAATGCATCCTTAACGTGATTGGTTAATATCGAGATTTAAAGTGTTGCAAAGTATCTTTTTTGCACCATATTAGGTCTAGTATATGATATGTTTATAGCGAATCGGGTTCCTAATTTCATTATGGAAAGTAGAAGTTAGATACCTGCCAGTTTCTTCTTGCTCTTCAAGTAAAGGATAGGGAATTTTCTTATCGACTAAGAAAAAAGCGATGCATAAAACCCTTATCTTGGTTTCAAGATCTTTAATGTTCTAAAACATTGCCTTCAGTTTTCAAATCAATAATGGGAATTGCATAATAAGTAGAACATACAATACAAACATTGACAATTCTGGTTTGGGAGCAAAATTTAAAGTTGTTACAAAATTTTGAAATTCGAAGTAAGCAATAATAGGTAGAACAGATTGACTCAATTTTGGTTATATATATTTGTTCGTTATAGAATTGACAAAAAGTAAGCACAATTCCTCTGTGGCAAAATTTTTGTCCAAGGTAGCTGCCCATGGAGGGGGTGAATTGGATAGATAAAAAACATTCCCCCTTTCTTGACCTAAGCCCTTCTACAAAAACACTATACAATACAAATCAATGTGAATGGTGACATCTCATTTTTTGCCTCGACTATCGAAGGCGGTTAACTTTTCAGAATGATTAATCGACTAATGAATGGCGTCCACTTAATACATGCCTCAACAGTCAAAGGTGGTTGACTCACTATTTTGGACGATCAACTCCTCATTTTTCCAAACATAAAAATCATGCATAGATTGATTCCACTGATCCAAAAAACAATCAGTCGCTCAGATTTATCAATATTGTGTGCATTCCAAGCTTATTGTTTACAATAAGCCCTATAACCAATTTATTCATAAACATATGAATTTATCCTTGCATCGATGATCAATGATAAGAGTCAAAGTTGAACTTGTCCCTTCAACCAGAAGCTATCTCCCATCGATTTGATCATTGCTTTCTGTTGTTTTCTTTTATTTCATATTATTTCCTTATCTTTATATCCCCCTACTTCGTTTATTTGGAAACAAATCCACCCAATCCCTGTGGAGATGACCTTGCTCATCACTATGTACAAAATATTTAATTTGAGCAAGACTCTTTTATCTTTGGTTGGACTCGACACCCACCAACGATGCATAAAGCCCTTATCTTGGTTTCAAAATATTTAATGTTCTAAAACATTGCCTTCAGTTTTCAAATCAATAATGGGAATTGCATAAAAACCGCTTTAATGCTTCTCAAGACACGATTGAAAGATACTCTTGAATCTTTTAGCCATACAATACAAACATTGACAATTCTAGTTTGGGAGCAAAATTTAAAGTTGTTACAAAATTTTGAAATTTGATGTAAGCAATAATAAGTAGAACATATTGACTCAATTTTGGTTATATATATTTGTTCATTATAGAGTTGACAAAAAGGAAGCACAATTCCTCTATGGCAAAATTTTTGTCCAAGGTAACTGACCCATGGAGGTGAAGGGATGAGAGGTCCATCATATGGATGGCTGAACCCTGTAGAAAGGTTGGGCAAAAATTCAAAAACTTTTTCTTTCTCCCATGTGGGAATCGCATTCCCTATTTTAGAAAACTGCATTTTCAATGATCAATCTTGAAACCAAATCGTCCAGATCTGAAACCAAAAGAGAGTAGAGGGATATACCTGATACAGAGTAATAGTAAACCCCCAATGAAGGTGTTCACGCCCAAAGAGAAGACCAAAGACTGTTTGGTGTAACATAATCGAGTCCAATCCGACAACCCAATCTGACACCTAGTGCAGTATCATAATCGAGTCTAGGGGCAGGTGTAACATTCTAGTTTTGCCCATCTATCTCCAAGGTCCAGGGCAATACTAGAATTTTGGTCCGGTTCAGGGTTTCAAGAAAACCCACACTGCATGTACCTCAGGTCTCACCCTAGTAGCTAAGACAAGCCACCCCAACCAACTTGGCGGCACATCAGTATCAGCCTTGGCAGGATAAATCTCCCCAGATCTATCCAATGGTTGTGATGATTCTAAACTAACATGAGTCTCATATGTGTCTAGTTTAAGGGTATTACATAAAAACACACCATGATAACACGAATCAAATATGTACTTTATTCATTTATATTAAATGTCATAATGTACATCATTCTGATTGGATCTAAGGGCATACACTATCTAACAGCTCCCACTTGCACTTAGGTCCAATCGGGTATAAGCCAGAGTCCCATGCTTTCCACGTGTTTCTCAAACACTTTCTGTGTCAGTAGCTTAACATCAATCTCCCATAGTTCCAGTGTTGTCACACAACAGTGGAATGGGTGATGTGCTGAATTCCAAATTCCAGAATGAACACCTTCATTCATTAGGCAGCCTCACTTACGGCAATGTGTTCGGCTTGGGTTGTGGACTATTTTCCTTACTACTCAGGACCCCTGTTTGTTGCTCTTCCAACTAACAGCACACGATCCTATCGTGAAGATATAACTAGATGTAGACTTTTTATCATCTAGATCTGATTGGAAATCGGCATCAGTATAACCTTGGTTCTGTAGTGAACTACCATCGAATACCAGACAAAACTCTTTTGTCCTTCGAAGGTATTTTAGTATGTTTTTCACAGGGGTCCAATGCTCCTGCCCTGAGTTAGATTGGTATCTGCTTACCACACTCACTGCCTGAGAAATGTCAGGACGAATGCACAACATGGCATACATGATGCTCCCTACGGCTGAGGCATAGGGAACCTCTTTCATGATCTCACTCTCTTCAGGATTCTTGGGAGACATACCCCTGGAGAGAGTGACTCCATGCCTAAAAGGAATGTTCCCTTTCTTGGAGTGCTCCATGTTGTATCTCTTGACTATTTTGTCAATGTAAGTAGACTGGGATAATCCTATTATCCTCTTCGATCTATCTCTATAGAGTCTAAGGCCCATTATTAGGAGGCTTCTCCAAGATCCTTCATGGAAAATTGCTGTGAAAGCCATACTTTCACCATAGTTAACATTCCAACATCATTCTGAATGAGTAAAATGTCATCTACATACAAAATCAAGAACATAACCTTATCCCCACTGGTTTTCCTGTAAACACAGGTGACGGATTGCCGAAGCCCTCAAAATTAGTACTAGTCCCACAATAAAATATTTGTAGTAAAAATGGTATTAGGTCGAATCCCACAAGGAGCTAATAGTAATCTCTCAGCCGAATGAATATTATCACTGAGTGGGAAAATTAAATAACTGAAATTAAAAGAGAGTAATAGCAAACTAAACCAACTAGAGCCTTAGTTGGGTTAGTCAATTGGCCATCGATCATAGGTAGACTCTGGTAGTGTTGCAATTCAAGCATTTAGCCTTAGATTTATTAGGATAGCCATAATAAACCTTGTGTTTTCATAATTCAGCTGACCAAACCCAGCATTCGATCAACACTTATCACTACTTAACTGGGTACGATAACATTCCATATTAACCAGTGATAGCATTAAGCATTATGAAAACAGTTAAACCAAGATAACAATAATTGAGATAGCTGCAATTATCAAATCTTGTTCCATTGATTCCCTTTAGGTTAAAACATGTCAATACATTGGTCAAAGGYTRTCACRAACARTTGAYCYARAAAGATATTAACCTAATTGCTACTTGTACCACTATTCGTGACAATTTCGGATCACCGAACCATGGATACTAGTAGGAAAATCAACATTAATTAATTTGTCAGACTAATTAACATTAACATCCAATGAAAATATGCACAAGAACCAATGAATACTTGAATTAAAAAGCAAGATCTTAAATTAAATACAGAACCTCACAATGGCACAATCGAACCTCCCCCCTTGAACCAGAAAGAGAAAGCTTAGGTGCTCATGATCTTCGAACTCTCCATGCTCTACTTCTCAGTGGCCAAACTGCTCTCTTGGTAGCTTGAGTTGCTTGATGATCTCTTGGATCCTTGGATTGAGTGATGCTAGAGCTAGTCCCCCCCCCCTTTATATAGCTGAGGGAGAGGGCTGTTTTCCAACTCCTTTTAGGAGATTAACCTCAAATTAGAAAGTCCTGATCTGTTTTGAACTTAATCCTATCCTATCTCCTATCTAGTGATCTAATCCAATCTTCTTATCTTTATAGGATTACATTCAAGAATTTAAATCTAATAAGACTCTCTTTCTGGAGGTTACATTTGAAATTGGGATTCTAGGCTCTTGAATTCGAGTTGGACTGCTTTAAAACTTGGGCTGCTACAAGGCTCTTCTGCGAGTTGGGCTTCAGTTGTGAAATGGGCCTGGCTGCGAACTTGCTCCGACTTTTGGCCCGGTTTCGTATTCGATGCGGACCGATACTGTCAAATCCCAAAACATAAAAGTTGTGCGCCTTTATTTCATATTTCTTATGCCTCTTGAATTGTCCAATTCGGAGTTCGGAATTGAGTGTTATACCC